CAAGAGCTACTTCACACAAGACAAATTACTAGGATCTGGTCTTGTGAGGCACTGCAGGTCCCATAAGATCTTCAAGGTTACTAATAAACCATTGGGTTCTAATTAAAATTGGGGTTGAGGCCAAGGACTCAACATTTGACATTTTGAGGTCAAAATGGTAACTCCTTGTAACGTGATACTGCCATTGCCTTGGCTGATGTGCAGTAGAGCACCACTGGTTTCAGTGGGAGCAGGCTGGGAGCTCTTTAGACCAAGTCTGACATTCTTTAATGATGTCAGAATAAGGCAAAGAAATTTTAAAAGTGGTAAACCAGAAAATCTCATTTCCATTCCAGTAAAGGCTACATAGAATAGACCACTACCAAATATTGGGCCTGATCCCTGCACCTCACTCAGTGTGTGTCTTCCCTCCTCACAGACTGCACCACTGACATGAGAACACAAAAACCATTGAGCACAGGCCTACAGGGGCAAGGACAGATCTGTGCTCACCAGTGTTAATGGCAACTGCTACTGCAGCTCTGGTCTCTGTGCAGGCAAAGTTGCCCATTGACTTTTGGAAACAGAAGATCAGACACAGTCCCCCTGGATCAGACACAAGGTTGTCCCTCAAGCTGGATAACCATCAGGACTATATGGGGGTCATGGAGATGCCCTGCCCAGTGCCTGGCAATGGGAGCACCAGGAATTTTTGTCTCCCCAAATCATTTCATGACACCAAGGTAAAAGTGCCATCATCTGACAACAGGAGGAGTTTGTGGGGCCAGATATTGCAAAGGTAATGACATTTTCTCAAATAAATACCTGCTGTTTCAATAAAGAACCCAGCAAGGAATATACAGGCCTCATGCTATACACAATTCCTGCAGTTCTTCCATCAGGAAGTGCAGCTTTTCTTTTTCTAAAGTGAGATGTTGTTTGGGGAGAGAGGAGATAATGTAGCCTGCTTCATGTTATTCTGCTCAGGTATCCCTGCGGATCCGGACTCGCTTTGGAAATTAAAAGCTGTATTTTACAGCAAGTGGCTGATGTTGATTCCACTGTCAGGGCTAACCAAAACCCATCAAAATACTCTTTTGCCTTAGTCTTTCCCAGAAATTATGAGTCAGCAAATCTTTCTGAAGGTGGTATATAGAAAAAAAACCCCACATTTGTATTGTCCAGGGAAAATGAATGGCTAGGATCACTGTAACCCAAATTTGCTTCCTAGAAGAGAGGAATGCTTGGGGAAATACTTTAAAAGTGTCACATTTTTCACAAGAGGGATACAGCCTTATTTTATAGATGTAGTAAATCATTGGGGAAAGTGGTAAACTGAAAATCTGACCATATAACAGAAAAGAAACAGAACAAAGTTTCATTTAAAGCAACATGTTGGGGTAAAATTGGAAAAGTAATCACCTAAATCCTTTTCATTCTTTGATTAATAGGTTTAAGTAGGATTTTATTCATCTAAGTTTTCTATATCTAATTTTTATACAGGTTGTCATTGCTTAATGAATTTATGGTGAAAATCCCCAATGCTCAGTTCCTGACACAGTTAAAGGAGGGAGATTGCATTAAGGGTGGTCTGTAGCAGATTCTGCCTCCCTAATTTCACGGGCTAAAAGGAATCATAGCAAGTTTCTCCTAGGGGCTTTTAGAGCCAAGGTTGGTCTTCAGAGCCTGCACAGGGCTCCCAGGAGCCTGCTCAGGTCCTAGCCAGCATCTCACACCTGGGTGCAGGGTCAGAGACAGGCCACAAGGACCTGCACCCAGCAACCCTTCCCTGCAGTTTCACTGCAGTCAACACAGGAATGACAAAGATGTATGAGACTAAATCCTGGCAGGTGTCAAGTTTTCAAGCTTTAACAGAAAGCTTTGCCAGGTTTCACCAATCTGAGGCACTCACTGGTCTTTTCTCTCAGCAGTTACTATTGTGGCTGAGATGTGGCAGCATCTTTGGCTGAGTCTATGCAGGTTACTAGAGCAGGACCAGGATGCTCCAGCCAGAAGTTTGGTCCCTGGCTTTGCAAGGGGAAGGGATCTTAAGCATGCTCTGTGCCACCCAGCTGCAGGGTGAGAGGGCAGGCCTTGCCCTGTTCGGTTTACTAGCTTAGACATACTGTATGAGATGGGGGCTTAAAATGGGGGAGAATAAGAGTCTTCCTCACAAGCAGCTTGAGAGTTCTTAATTTTGACCTGTAATAAAATCTGGTTTGAATTCTATTTGTAACATCACTGCAACAGTTCCCTGATGAACTGCATGCCTGAAGGTATTCATCAATTACAATGTCACATTTGTGATTAGTAGAATTGATAAAAATAGTGGAACTAGCAGAGTCTGGAATACCAATTTTTCTTTTAAATGAAATCTCTTTGCAGTATCAGTGAAATGATATTAGTTTTCATGATACTTTCACTCACAGCAGTACTGATTCACAGCCCCTCTGAGGCTTGTGGGATCCTTGTGGCCCCAGCTACTCCAGCCAGGCAGGTGCTTGATGCATTGCCCACAAGCTGGGAAACACATTAGTCCAAATTTTTATATGGGACCATGCACATAAAAGTAATTTGTTTCTGCCCTTAAATACCATTTTTAAAAATAGTAATAAACTATAACATAACTAGGATGTAAGTGCAGCATAAATATAAATTAATAAGCAGCAACTGCTGCTGAAATCTGCTGCACGTGTTACTGCTCTCTATAAATCAGTTACTGGTGAATTTGAACCTGAGTGAAGGAGTGTTCCAAACCTTGAGCAATGTTGGCCTCTGATGGGCTCTTTGAGGCCACTAAGCTGTGGGATCCACAGAAAACTGTATACTGCTTTGAGATAGGCAGACAGAAAAGATGCACTTAAATGATTTTTCTACAGCATGCAGTCCAAAAAAGGGAGGGGGAGAAACCATTCAGGCTCCCCTCAGAACTGTGGATGACAAGGAAAGTCAATTTATTGTGGCATTTTGCAGGCTTTTAGGAAAGAAGACTGTCTTTCTTTCTTTTTCCTCCTTTTTCTCGTCCAGCATTAGAATAAAACGGAAGAAGAGCCTAGCTTAGACAATGTGTTTCCCCAGTTTGATAGCTTTTAAATGGATCATTAACATAAAGGGCTAGCTTAGAACTTGAAGATGAAAGCTACGGGAAACCTGGTGAATGACTGTAACTAGCAGCCTATTTGACCAGGCTTTTTGTCTCTTTGGGAAGAAAAAGAAAAAAAAAGGAGTCTGTGCTCTTCTTTACTCTTTGCCTAAATAAGAGAACAAGCAAACAAGCAAGCAGGAAGGTGCCTTTCTTGGTGCAGTATTTCATCTCCATAGTGAATGATGATCTCTTCAGGCAGAATTACATGGGGAGCTTTCAAAAGTAAACAAGGAGACTTTGCTTAACGGGCAAATTTGCCAACTCTCTTATTTCTAAAAGCATCTAAGCGCACAAAGTTATACCACATCTTACATGTTTTTATTTGTATATAAAATCTTATAATTTATCAATATTGTGCAGTAAAGTATGGATACACACATACATACATACACCCCAACCCTCACCCCCAACACACACACCTACAAATACAACACAAACACAACTTTCTTTCCCTCTGCCCCTCAGAAAGGCAACACTGTTTTGGCAGGTCAGCAGCTAGAAATAAGGTGCTATAACGAAGCGGTACCAGAATGTCTTCACTTTACAAATGTGATGTGCAAATTTATATACAACCACATTATTACTTTTTTTTCACAGAACCCAAGACTCCATAACCCGAACCACTCTCAGAGATACAAATACGTATAAAGTGCTAATACTTAAGCATGTTTCCAATGACTTCACAACGTAGTTTGAAGTTTAGAACAGGCACTGGGTAGATTGTCACTCGGTGCAGTATGACAGAGAGAAAAGTCACTCAGACATCACTGGGGGACCGGGAACGAAAGGACACTTTAGCCTGAAAGCAGCCACAGAAGAGCACCCACATGGACCTCTGGATTTCCTGGTTTCTGTAGGCATAAATGATGGGGTTGATCATGGAGTTGTAGGTAGCGGGTAGAAGCGTGGCGTACGTGTACACAGAAGGGTAGTCAGGGTCCCCCACCACGCAGTAGATGGCAAAAGGCAGCCAGCTGGCTCCAAACGTCCCCAGGATTATAGCCAGGGTAGAGACTCCTTTTTTGGTGGCAACATAGTGGGAAGCAGTCAGAAAGTGCTGCTGGAGGGCTATCTGGTGGGCATGCCGGCAGATGATCTTGCAGATCTCGATGTAGAGATGGAGCATGATGAGGAAGATGAGGAAAAAAGAGGCAGAGAGCAGAGTCATGTTACTCTTGGTCAAGGGTCTGACGACGCTGCAGGCGGTGCGATCGTGGAGACAGTTCCAGCCCAGGACGGGCAGCAGCCCCAGGCAGAGGGACACCCCCCAGGCACCCGCCAGCATGGTGTGGATGCACAGCACCGTCCTCTCCGAGTAGTAGGTGAGGGCGTTGTAGAGGGAATTGTGATGGCGAGCAAGCTACTCACGGAGGCGGCGAAGGAGGCGACCAGGAAACCCACGGTGAGCAGGCTGACCGTCTCCGAGCGGATCACGTACTGGAACACGAAGTTGAGGATGAGCCCGAGGCCGGCCAGGAGGTCAGCCGTGGCCAGGCTGCCCACCAGCACGAACATGGGCGTGCGCAGGGCGGGCGAGTAGCAGATGATAGCGACCACCAGCG